CTTGTAATCGCCTTAGGGAGTTAGAAAGTAAGAGTACTAGATGATCTTGGAAGAAGACTCGATCTACGAAAAAGCGACACCCGCCACTAGCTGCCGTTTCCCGTTAACAAAATTGAGTTATAGAAAAACATAAGGGAACAAATGAAAAAAAACTTACGTTTATCACTTTCGGAGGTCGATACGGCTCCGTCTGCCAATATCCATACACTTCCAAATATCGTTGCTCACGCTCCTCAACAGGAACACGCAGATTTGGACGAGCCTTTACTATTTTATAGGGCTTCTCTCCTTCCTTCAAAACCATAAAAGTTATTATACTGACGAGTAGCATGTTTTGAAAAGGGTACCTTCACACTCCTAGCTGATTTTATCCAATTATTGGCACCCTGAAGAGTATGGACGGAGGATCGCGGATAAACCTTGTGACCACGAACTTCTCCCAAAGGTTTCTGATCTTCTGGTCTTGGGTAAATAGCCTCGAATTTCAGAAGATCCTTCTCCAGAACATATCTATCAAAGAAGAAAATTTACAAGTGAGTCCCAGCAGAAAAAAAAGTTTAACTTCCACTTACAATGGGTGGTTCTTGTACTCCGATAAAGTGGTTGGTAGAGGTTTATTGAGGAGATCCTTTCGGGAATGAGTGTCCTCCAATCTGGCTCTCTTGCGATTGGCACGGATCGCCTTAAAGCCATTAATTAATACATGAAGCAATCGACCCTGATAATTTCGTTTTGGGATGCGCCACGCGACCTGCTCCCGTTATAAGTTGCAGTGGCTTGCATGCGGTTTGGCATACGTAATGAAGACCTACCAAACTCAGGGTTCCGGGATTGAACACGATTCTACTTCTCGAAAAGGTCTGGTGCCAATCGACCAAAAAATGGAAGGTCTAGCCAGACTGAGACCATATTTGATGCTCACACCGAGAGTGGGCCACTTGCCACTTCATAATCTGTGTTCGTGATAAAGCTTACAAGGGAGGTCATTCAGGGAGTGCCAAGCTTTTTTCAAACCATTTCTCCTGAAGGGGTCCCTAGTTCGATTCCTCGTGGTGACAAATTTTTGCATTTCGAGTTGACGTTTCAAAATTCGCGCAAAATGGAGTTAGCATGAATAATTAGTACCATATTCATGATTAGGACCGTCAGTAACCCTTACAAATAGACTTTGATTGAAAAACTGGTGAAAAAGGTGTGACTAGGGACCCCCTTTTCTGGTATTCAGAGGGCCGTTCAGGAAAAATTAACCATGGTTCTGTGGTTCCCGCATGTGCCTCTATATCATGCAAAAGACCGTTTTGAAAAAGCTTGGCACACCCTGAAAGACCCCTTGTAGACGCGAGGATTCCAAAAGTATTTTTTACGATTGGAAGAAAAAGACTAAGGAGAGCCTATGCCTTTCGATGATCCAGAAGATCTATTCACTCACAATGTGAGAAGGAAGGTCTCCTGAAATTTTGGAGCAATACGATTGGTCGCGAGGTTTGTTCGAAACACCATGAACTAAAGGTAGGGCAAAAATAGACATTTTGCTCATGTAACACTTCGGCCGATTTTTTCTTCGCAGAGATTGCCGTCGTTGACGGAAGTTCCTCAGCAGAATATTCCCCTAAGTCCCTCTATAAGTACACGCAGGCCCTCCTTCACTGCCCTCACCGTCTTCAGAATATGACGTCATCTGTCACCGTCGTCGAGCTCAAGGAGGCCTACCGTAACTGCTTCAGCCTGAAGCTCTTACATAATTTCTTGAATCGATTCAACGTTGATAGTTTCCTAAAGACATTAGCTCTGACTATGCAACCCTGCCCCTCTTAAGACCCGCTTTTCAAAAAACAAGGGTACACGATCCGTCGAAGACCCCGTTGAGCTCGACCAGTTCACCACGTTTTTAGAGCAGATTTGACTGTTGCCGTCCACGCTTTTCAATTATGAGTTGGTAGCATTGGTTTGATTTTAGCGGGAGGTGATTATCCATTTGAACGTGGAAGACAAAATGTCTTTTTTAATGCCCCTTCCTGTATGCAAGGTCGTATCTGACTGCAACATGTAAAAAGAGACCTTTTGACTGACGAAAATTCTGCAATGATTAGACCAGAAAATCCAAAGAACAGTGAGGTCATAGCGTTACTCCTACTAAAATATGGAGTGATCGAAGGAAAAACTCAATGTTAAAAATTTTTGCCTTTATTGGAAAGACGGTTTTCATGATCGTTGTAGGAACGTTTTTTCGCCTTCACAAGATTTAAAAAACCTTATAACCTGCTCTGACAAGTGCTCCTACCTTTATCCTCTTATAATTAAAAGCCATTCCGCGGAAGGGAGAAACGAGGTAATCATGGGGCTCAAATGTGAAACAGAGGGTGCCAGTTGATTTGCCACTGAAGAAAAAGGGATAGAAATACTCGAAATGCCCTTAACAATACGCTCCTTTTTTCTGGAGGCCTGGAGAAGCTGGGAGACAAGCAGTCTTATAGACACTGGGTGCCAAGGCGAGAGAACGACAGGCGGACACAAGAAAGCATAGCGAGGAACTAGACAGCATACATCACAGCGGTAGGAGGGCATCGTTGACTGAGATAGCCATGATTGTGAGTTCCTGACTTCTAGCGCGCTTCTCACGCTGTTGAGTTGCAAAATTGTTTCTGCAGCGGTTGCGGACACAACAAATCTATTCGCGGGAAATGTTGGTCTACAGGGTGAATAACGGTCGAGGAATTCCTCGACCATAGCTCTGTACTGTGTGAGAGTAGTGTCGAGAGTGAATGTACGCGCGGAGAGCACAGACGGCTCGCGCATGGCGAGAGTGAATGTCCGCGCGGGAGACGTGGCTGAACAGGCGAAAATCCTCGACGAGCCGTTGACGAATCCTCGACCGATTTTCACCATTGTTGGCCCAATGACCTGATGGCGGAGAGAGCTTTTACCTTGTTCTGGCTACTAGAAAGAGGAGCAATGTATGTATTCTTACTTTCTTTCCCAGAGTACGAACAAGCCAATCCGGATCGGTTCGACGTCGGCGAAAATCTGGACGCGAGAATTCGGCCGCATACCGAGCAGTCACATCACGCACACCGCCTTCTGCAATGATAGGGTCTTCCGCTTCATAAACGAATTTTTACCGATTGCAGAAGCCAAAGGTTGTGGGCATTAT